CCAATAGTTAGTCTGTACAGTTAGATGCATATTGAATTTACAAAATAAAAATGCAAGGGGTGTATTTAGACTGTTTTCTTCAGTCCTTTTCCTACTTGGATGTCATCTTTCCCACTTAATGGGAGTATTGGATATATCACTGATATTTTCTTCTGCTACTGCTGCTTTTCCAGAAACAAAGGTTCACTTCTTCCAGTAAATCCAGTGTCTTTTTGCTTTTCTAGCTAGTTATCTTTAGCTTGCACCTTCTGCCTTTGATATGTTGCCAAGGTTTACTTTTGTCTGGTGTGCTCTTTGACTCCACATTTGTCAAAGAATCAGAACCAAGGCGCAGGGCCTTGCTTTTACATGAAAATTCAAACATTCAGTCCTCTCTCCTCAACTACTCCTCATCCAATTGTGGTCAGGGAGCTTTCCTGATGCAAACCCATATCTGGATAAAATGCCAGGACACCTAAAAGCTGGAAGCATTAAAACAAATTGGAAGGTGGGGGAAGAGAGAGATGAGGAGGAATGGGGAAAAGGAATAAAAGTTGCAAGTTCATTCAGCCCTACATGCCAGAGAACGAAGAGAGACAAGTTTTGACTTTGCAAATCTAAATATTTATACCTAATGTCTAAGCCTGTGCTAACCTTCAGCAGTCAGACAGAGGGGAGCCAAACACACTCTAGAATAGGTGCCTTTTAAAATGTCTTAGTTGTTTTGCTTCTGGATTTGGCTTCAAATAATTGTAAAAGCAACTATCCTAGCCAAGGGGTGGAGGAAGAGACATTCCTGTCAAGAGATGAAGCTGCCCTATAAGGTCCATTTGGAAGCAGTGGCCTCACTAGGGTTGGTGCTACCCTGGAGCAGTAACTCATGCTGTCACTCCCCAGGCTGCCTGGCATTTCTCCAGCCAGGCCAATGGTCTAGCAGGAGTAGATCAGGCGAGAAAGGCTCCAGTCTACTTGCTGCCAACAGCTGGTGGACTGCAGCTGTCAAAGGAGCCATCCATGTCCAAGGCTGTTCCAGTCTGTCTGCCTTGTTCACAACTCCTGAATTGGTCCAGGCACTTTTCAGCAAAGGGAATGGCCTCCAGGTTTTGGCCGTGGTGTGCTCACAGCATCCCAGCCATTTTCCTTGCCACCTTCAGGCAGGTGGACTGAGCCGTTGCCAGGACCTTCAGTCTCTGTGGATCCCAGTCTACCCATGGAGGGGTGAAACAGTATACACCAGAAGGCAGTTCCTTCCCACAAGCACACCAGGAGACACCACCCTTTGAGGGGGTCACTCGATACAGTCCGACCCCCTGCACTCCTCTAGAAATGCCTCTGTTTGGATGCTGGCAAAATAGTTTTATCTCCTTTGCTGCCACTGCTCCCCACTGCTTCTCTGCTGCTATGGTGAGGCAAATCAAAGCTGTTCCAATGTAAGCCACCAACAGGATCCCAGCCCAGTGTTGTATGGCTGTCAGGCAGCATATTGGACACCTTTGGCAGAATAGATTCCTCTTCCCAGTTGCAGCCTCCAGTCCCCTTTATATATTTTCAAGAGTTGCTAGCCCCTGAAGAGCAGATCTGAGGGGAGAACAGGGAGGAAATAGAGGATGAGAAGGAGTAATCTGGTGGTATGAGCAAATGTCTGCTTGTGCTAAGTTGGATGGAACCATGAACACTTCAGACGTACTAGTATCAACCCTTTCTGACTTCATCAAACATTTTCCAGATGACAAAAATAAATATTGTTCATTTTGGAGAATTCTAAGTAAAATTTTATGAAAAACAGTGACAAGGGTATGCTGTCACTCAAACATGTTCATCTCAGCCAAGGGAGAATTGGTAGTCTTGAGCAATCTGTTTTTCAGGGAGCCCTTCTTGCCTGGTACTGATATTTCCACTGAAGCCTCCCAAAACTCACTTTGAAAGACACTGTTTTAATTTAAACAAATGGCAAATAGATTCTTAAGTATGACTTGCAAAGAGACATAATGGGCCTTTGCAGACTGCCAGAAATAGTGCAAATTGGGTCCACTTTACGGGTTAGGGTTAGTGCTAGAGAATCATGGGAATTGTTTTTTTCTCTCTGAGATATTGAGCCTTCTCTGTCAGAGAGCTCTGGTGCCACAATAAAATACAGCTCCCATGATTCCCTAACCATAACCATAACCCTTAAAGTGGACTCAGTTTGCACTATTTCTGGCAGTCTGCAAAGGCCCATAGTATTTTAGTTTATCTTCATCAGTTTCCTGGACAGAGTGCTGCATCCCTAGAGCAAGCCAAAATTCCACCTCACCAAACATCCTGGTTTTGACAGTGTCCAGTAGCAGATGACTGCAGCAAGGCCTCAGAACAAAATCCCTGGAATTCAATTTCAACTTCAAAATACAGAGACAAGTTCAAGGTAAGAAGAATCTACACAAAGCACAGAGAATTCTGGCTTAAAGTACAGTGAGGCACTTTAAGAAGTGCGGTGATACATTGGAAGACATGCAGGAGATAATCAGGAAAGAAGTCCTATGAGAAAAGATTGTTCAAGGTATGTTTAGCCTGGAGAAGGGAAGGCTGAAGCAGGATATGATACCACTTTTCCAATACTGAAATGACTGCTGCCCAGAAGACAATTCAATTTGTTCTCTCTAGAGGGCAAAATCAGATATATTCCGCTTAAGTGAATGGAGGATAGCTTTTGGTTGAACGTTAGAAGAAACCTCTTGGCAGGGGAATCCATTCTCTAAAAAATTGGTGTGCTTTCCTTCACCAGAGGTCTTTAAGCAGCCATTTTTCTTTATGGAAGTGGGTGATCTTTGCTTTAGATCTCCTGGGTCAAGCAGGAAGTTGGAACTAGACAAGAGGTAGGTTAGAGAGTGACCCTCTTCAGAAATGTATAATGGAAGTTTACCTATGTATGCAGAAATAAGTCCCATTGAGTACAAGTGAGGCTTATCAATAGATAAGTTCATGTAAGATTCCTGCCTCAGTCACCCAGAGTTAGGTTTTATGCAGCAACATGGTGTCATGGTTTGAGCATTGGGCTTTACAGACCAGGCTCAGCCATGTAAACCCACTGAGTGACCTTGGATGAGTCACACACTTTCAGCCTCGGAGAAAGGCAATGACAAACTTACAAAGAAAACCCCATGATAGCTTCACCTTAGGGTTGCCATAAGCCAGAAATGACTTGAAAGCACATGACATTGGAAGGTCTTCTGTGTGCTAGAACGCTTAGCACTGAAGAGTCAAGAATGCCTCAGAGAGGATAGTAGTAATAGGGTTAGTAATAGAGTGACCCAAAGTGTCTTCACTTCTGCTGTACTTCTTCTGTCCCCTATGTGATGTAAACTGATGTTTTTCCACCTCCTGCCTTCTCACCAGTTCTCTCTTGGCTCTTTCCTAGACTGAAGCTAGATTAGAACAGCACCCTGAGTAACTTTCCTGTATTAGAATAGAGTTCCTGTAATAAAGCCCTTAATTTTATTTCTCTAAGACCTAGGTGTCTTTGGTCCTTAATGAGCATCTGTAACTGCTACACAGAGTTACTATCACTATACACATGTTGAGATCTTAGCCATGGCTGATGGAGAGCTTACCTGAGGAGATGGTCACAACAAGAAGCTTTCTATTCCTCTCCTCAGTCTTCCCTTTTCAATAAATCTGATAGACCCCCAAAAATGTATTTCACAAAGTAGGTTTCTAGAATAATGTTTCTGATTTCTGCTCCCAAAAAACTGAGTGGAAGTTTGCTACTGATTTTAATAAAGTAATTGCAGGCCCAGAATGTTATTTTAGATCCTATTATACCACTTATTACTGGGTCTTTAAACCATTATTCCCCACAAATCCTGCTTTAAGAGCATGACACAATGTATTTTTTTTAAAGTCTGCTTTCCAGACAAACAATTCTGAAGTGCTGATGAAATCCTGAGCACATGGCAGCTGCAGCCTGCCTGCCTTCCCTAATAAGGTTGTCCACACGGATTGCAGCTCAGAAGTAAACCCATGTGAATGGAATGCAATAGCTAGAAGATGCACATCTATATTTATAAATTTCAGCGATAACGGTGTTTACCCAACACTTAATCATTTGCACCAGGTCTTACAAATAAATAAGCTCTTGGACATGATCCTTACATGGAAATTGAAGTCAAAAACAAGGACAATTAATCTATGAACAAAATAAATCTGGGACAGTTGGAATGTCTCTGTGCCTGCAGATGTGTACATGTATACAAAAAACAGACAGAGCGAGAACTGTGATAATATCCTTCTGTTGTTGTTGTTTTTTTAACTCCCTAGCTGTTCTTTCTTGGAAGAGATAGCTTTGTATGTCAGATCACCTTTGTTGTTGTGTGCCTTCAAGTCATTTCCAATTTACGGCGACCCTGAGGTCCCTATCATGGCAAGATTTGTTCTTGGCAAGGTTTGTTCAGAAGAGGTTTGCCATTGCCTTCTCCTGAGGCTTAGAGAGTGTGACTTGCTCAAGATACCCAGTGGGTCTCATGTCTGAGCTGGGAATCGAACCCTGGTCTCCAGAGTTGTAGTTGAACTTTCAAACCACTAAGCCATGTTGGCTCACTTCTTGAACTCCCCAGCTGTTCTCCTCTCTTAGAAGAGAGAGTTTTGTATGCGATATCACCTATCCCATTCTAAATAAAGCTTCCCCAAGTGTGGTGAAGGACACCTATCCCATCATTAGTGTGGAAGTTAAATTTGGTGGTCAGTCTAGTTGGCATCTGTATGGACGTTATCACACGGGGGGAATCTGTAGGTTATCCCACACAAATCCCCAAAAAACCCCCCGCATTTGCACCTGACAATTTCACACGATGTCGCACAGAAAGTGGACAGAAAGTGGTATTATCCGAGATCTTTTTAATTTCGGGAGTTTAGAGGAAATGCATTTGCGAAATTACAGTAGTTGCTCATTTACTTTAATCTGAAAAGCAAATACGCATGGACAATTCTCTTTTAAAACCTGGAGGAGGGCCAAGAGGAGGAGGGGCCTCCAGGGAGGGAGAGCCCTGGGCTCCTTCTCAGTGCCAGGAAAGGGAAGGGAAGGGAAGGCAGCCCAGGAGAAAAAAGTTTGGGATGGAGGAGAAGTTTGGTATTTGGGATGGAGGGAAAAGGAGGGAAAAGAAGGCTTCCCTCACAGCAGCTGTGGGTGGATGTGGGTGAAAGTGTGGGGTGTGCTTGTGAAGCATGACGTTCTGCCCTGCAGGTCCTACAAAGGGGAAAGGCTTATGGAGGGACATGGGAGCTACCTCTAGTTTCCCCCCTCTCCTGGGCATCATCCAAGGCTCTGGCTCTCCCCAGGGAACACCCAGCCCTTCCTTCCTTCCTTCCTTCCTTCCTTCCTTCCTTCCTTCCTTCCTTCCTTCCCTCCTTCCTTCCTTCCCCTTCCATTCTTCCCTTTCCTCCTCCTCCTCCTCCTTCCCTGCCAGCTCTGCCTGTGATCCTGCACTCCTTGCCCATCTCCCCAGCAGCTGACAACCTCCAATGCCAGGAAAGGAGAGAGAGAAAAGGGAGGGTGAGCCATCCCAATCCCTCCCTTGCCTCGGCTTGCCTTGCCTTGCCTTTCCAGCCTCCTCCTCCTCCTCTGCTCTCTTGAGAGGTCCTAACCCCAATGGATGGGGGTTAGGACCTGTGCAGGAGGACATGACCCCAAATGGAGGACAGTCTGACATTTCCTCCTGGGAAATGCAAGACCCACCCTGGAAAAGGAATCTTGTCACAAAACACACCCATTTCCAGTACATGTACGGGTCCTTTTCACTTGCGTATGAAAATTAAAAATTTCTTTTTTCGCTTTTAACTTAATTCCGTTATTACTGTAATTACGTGTGAAAAGCTTTTGCGCAATTAAGCTCTATTTTTGCTTTCTTTTTGGGATGCTTCATTTCCACTTTATTATCTCTTTAACAATGAAACTGGCCCATGTGTGATAATGTCCTATGGGTTAACAACGAAACTGGCCCATGTGTGATAATGTCCTATGGGTTGGACAAGTGAGAGGAGAGCAGTCTTGCCCCTTTTCCCCAGGCAACAAAGTATCTGGGGCTGATCCTAAAACACAGGGTTTTTACAGCATTTGAAATACCTTGGTCTATTTGGTGACAGGGGGGATACTGTATGGTGATGAATTCCAGGTTTAATGTGGCTTAAAAAGTGTGAGATAGGCATCCATATTTGTACAGATAAGCCATTAAGAAGAAAAGAGAAGAAAAAAAGGAGATAGGAACAAACTAAGAATTATTAATGCAACAGTACAACAGCTTGTGTGAAAAGATAAAGAAAATTACTACAACAACCAATGCAGGGAAATAGAAGACAACAACAATAAGGAAAGAACAAGAGATCTATTTCACAAGATCCAGGAAATCAAAGGAAAATTCAAGCCAAGGACTGGGAAGATCTATGACAATAAATAATATGATTCAAGACCAGGAAGGAATAAAAAGACACTGGATGCAATACACAGAAGAATTATACAAAACAGATGACAAAATGAAGGACACATGAAGAGCCATATGAAGATGAACCCCAAATTCTAAAAAGGAAGGTGGAAACTGCAATAAGAGAAATAGCGAAAAACAAATAACCCGGAACAGATGATATTCCAACTGAACTGCTGCAATCCACATTGACAGAATCAACTCTAGTGCTAACCAACATATATCAACAGATATGGAAAACAAAACGATGGCCAACAGATTGGAAGCGATAAATATACATCCCCATCTACAAAAAAGGAGACAAGAGACTGAAGCAACTATAGGATCATAGCACTGATCTCCCATGCAAGCAAAATCATGCTCAAAATTCTGCAACCTAGGGCCTTTGCAGACTGCCAGAAATAGTGCAAATTGAATCCACTTTAACTGCCCTGACTCAGTGCTAGAGAATCATGGGAATTGTAGTTTATTGTGGCACCAGAGCTCTCTGACAGAGAAAGTTCAATGTCTCAGAAAAAAATACAATTCCCATGATTCTCTAGCACTGAGCCAGGGCAGTTAAAGTGGACTCAATTTGCACTATTTCTAGCAGTCTGCAAAGGCCCATAGACTCCAAACATACCTGGAAAGAGAGATCTCAGAAGTCCAAGTGAGGTTCAAGAAAGGAATAGGCATTAGGGACCACATTGCAAACATATGATGGCTAATGAGCACACCAGGGAATTCCAAAAGAAAATCAACATGTGCTTTATAGACTATAGCAAAGCCTTTGACTGCATAGATCATGAAAGGCTATGGCATGCCCTTAAAGACATGGGAGTGCCAACACAGATGATAGTCCTGTTGAGGAATCTGTACTCAGGACAAGAGGCTACTGTCAGGACAAAACACAGAGAAACAGAATGGTTCCCAGTTGGCAAAGGAGTCAGACAAGTCTTCATCCTTTCACCCTAGCTATTCAACTTATATGCAGAACATATTTTAAGGAAAGCAGGCTCGGACACAGAAGAAGGAGGTGTGAAAATAGGAAGAAGGAATATAAACAATCTAAGATATACGAATGACACCATAATACTAGCAGAGAACCTCACAGACCTGGAACAACTACTAAGGAAGATCAAAGAAGAAAGTGCAAAGACAGACTTAATGCTGAACATAAAGAAAACAAAAATAATGACAACTGAGGACCTTCATAAGTTCAACCTAGACAATGAAGAAATAGAAATAGTAAAAGAATTCTTATACCTGGGATCAAACATTGATAGAAATGGGGACTGTAGTCAGGAAATCAGAAGAAGAATAAGAATGGGGAGGGTGGCTATGAAAGAAAAATTAAAAAATGGAAAGAAATACAACTCAGCATAAAAGTTAGAATCATGCAAGCCCTTGTATTCTCTGTCACCATGTATGGATGTGAGAGCTGGACAATTAAGATGATAGGAAGAAGATCAATTTATTTGAGACGTGGTGCTGGAGAAGAGTGCTGAGGATCCCATGGACAGCCAAAAGGACAAACAAGTGGGTCCTAGAGCAGATCAAGCTGGAAACCTCCCTGGAAGCCTAGATGACCAAACTGAGGGTCCTTCAGACACATCATGAGAAGAAAGGACTCTTTGGAAAAAACAATAATGCTGGAAAAGATGGAGGGAAGTAGGAAGAGAGGAAGGTCACATGCTAGATGGATGGACTCTGTTAAGGAGGTCACGGGCATTAAGGGGTTGCAGGAATTAAGCAGAGCAGTGGAGGACAGGAGGTCTTGGAGATGGCTCATCCATAGGGTGGCCATGAATTGAGATCATGGCGAGGGCAGTTAACAATAACAACAAAGGCCATCAAGGCCTGCAGTGGGCCTTTAGGGCAGATCTAAATGTCTTCATGCTAGAAGACCTCTCCATGAAAGGCATCAAAAGGGCTCAGAAAGGACTTTCTGCTGTCAGATCATCACTGTCTCATCCCCTGAGCATTCCTACATCTCTTGTTATTTTTCAAAGCATGAACAGCTCTACCATTAGGCAGAATAGCAAATGCTGTGTGATGTGGAAAGGGAAGCAGCAACTACAACAGCACCCCCTCTCCCTTTCTGTAGGAGATAGCAGTATTTTTCCATACATCTGCCCTACATGCCTGAAGTTAGCCTGCTGCCTTTAGATGATGAGTTGGAGAGTACTGCCCCATCACCATGGTCCACTGGCCATACTAACAAGTGTTAGCTATGGTACCACTGCAGTTGTCTCTGAGACATCCTCCAACAGTGTCACCCCTTCTGCTGCTGCTGTAGCTGTTGAGCACTTTTAGTTTGGCTCCACAAGAAAAGTCTGTCTGACATGGGAGACCCTACCAGCAGCACTACTACCAGCAGCATAACCTCCTGCCTCACAGGAGCTCGCAACCCCACCACTATGGAAAGGTATTGTCATGGTGGGTCAATATTTGTGGATTCATAGAATTTTACACTCTACTATCTTCATATATATTGTTGGCCATATTGTCCTCCTGCCACGTTCCAGGTCCAGGACTGGAAGCGATTCTGTTGTGGATCAGAGCCATGTCAAGGGGAGAAGGATGCTGTCCCCCTCCTCTCTGTGCCACAGTTCTATTCCCAAGTCCCCTTTGAGCTGCTATTAGCTATTGAGGGGAAAACATATGAACATAATTTCCCATTGTTTTTGAAAAGCAAATGAAGGAAAGATGTGGGGAAAGACATTGGGGGGGTTGCAGACTGCCAGAAATAGTACAAATTGAGTCCACTTTTAGGGTTAGGGTTAGTGCTAGGGAATCATGGGAATTTTTTTTCCTGAGACATTGAGCCTTCTCTGTCAGAGAGCTCTGGTGCCACAATAAAATACAGTTCCCATGATTCCCTAATCCTAACCCTAACCCTAACCCTAAAAGTGGACTCAATTTGCACTATTTCTGGCAGTCTGTATTGTTTTCAAAGATCAAGTATCTGCATTTATTAAAGTCTTTCAGGTATTGCTTAAAATGATCCTTCCTCTTTCCTGTAACTGGGCTACCGCAGGAGATGTGACAGTTTTAATACATCCCCATTTTTGGTTCAAGCACAAATTATATTCCTGCAGCTGTACACTGGCCTGGTTTCAATTATTCCCCCCCCCCCCA